GGTCTGGCGAGCAGGATGGTGCTTGTGTGGACAGAGGACAGGGTACGTGAGCTCGGGGAGGACCTGGAAATTCCTCATATGGGGGCCCTTGTCCCCAGCCGATGGTCCTTCACCATCCTACCTGGGCTGAGTCGAGAAATCACGGGGCTGCTGGGTCACACTGAGCCTCCAGCTGTCACAAGAGTTTCCTGAACAGAGTCGCTTCCACCAGGAAACTCCAGGAAGAGACGCACAGAGGAGCAGGAGGAGGAAGAAAACAATCAGGCAACCCGGAGGAAGGCCCCCGTGTGGCTTGCCAGGATGCCACAGCCCGGGTATAAAGGCTGCCTGGGGAAGGAGCCTCCAGACCAGCCCCGTCCTCCACCCTGACTCCACTCCAGCCCCACGCCACCATGTGCCAGTCCAGCTGCTCCACGGGCTGCCAGCAGGCCTGCTGCGTGCCCAGCTCCTGCCAGACGTCCTGCTGCTTGCCCAGCTCCTGCCAGGTGTCCTGTTGCGTGCCCAGCTCCTGCCAGACGTCCTGCTGCGTGCCCAGCTCCTGCCAGGTGTCCTGTTGCGTGCCCGTGAGCTGTAAGCCAGCCGTGTGCGTGCCCATGAGCTGTAAGCCAGCCGTGTGCATGCCCGTGAGCTGTAAGCCAGCTGTGTGCATGCCCGTGAGCTGTAAGCCCATTGTGTATGTGGCTCCCTCCTGCCAGTCCTCTGGGGGCTGCCAGCCCTCCTGCCCCACCCTGCTCTGCAGGCCTGTCCCCTGCGGCACCCCTACGTGCTGCTGAGCTCATGGCCTCCTAGGACCCCTCCTCCATGCTGTCAGAAGTAGCTGCTCTCCCAACTCCTACCAGGCAGCCCAGACATCACCCACTTCAGACCTTCCGGACCCGACTAGACCATCTTACAGCAAAGTCACTTGATCCCCGGTACCCAGGTGGAGAGTCGCCCCCAGTGTCTCTGGCTGGTGTGGAGTGCCCAGCTCTGCAGCCCTGCACAAAAGTCTAATAAATTCCAGAGTGATCTGAAACCCACTGAGTGTGTGCACCATCTCTCCTTTATGCCTATCCCTGAACTGCTTCCTCTGGGCGTGGCTCCCAGAATCCAGGAACGCTCCCTCTGCGGACAGGCCACAGGTTACCAGATGCCCGTACCCTGGGGGTCCGGCCACTCAGGGGTGGCCTTTTGGGTGAGTGGGAGCTCCTAGCTCAGGCTGCTGGGTCCCCGGGCTTCCTTTGGTCCCCCTTGGTCCCTTGAACCAGCGAGGTTATTTCTTACTCTGCTGGGGGGACTGAGGACGAATCCCTAAATTTGGGGTTTGACCCCTTTTAGGTAAAAAGGTCCCCTGCTAAGCAACCAATATGCGGAGCCAACCTAGTCTCAAAATTAAAGTGTACGCCCTACAGACGAGTAGGGCTCTTCCTTCTCCCATTCGGGGGGACAGGGCTTTGTGGGTGACTTCCATGGCTCCCGGAGATGTCCACACCCTCATCCCCAGAACCGGTGAACACAGCCCTGCAGGCACAGCAGTTCCCCAGGTGGAGTGAACTGAGGGTCTTGCCCCAGGAGCTGTCCTGGATTGGTCTGGGGGCTCACGTCATCCCAGGGACGTGGGAGAAGGGAGAGGAAGGGCTGCCATGGAAGAGGAGGCCATGGGAAGAGGAACACTGGGCTGCGGGCTTGGAGCCCCATCACCTCCGACTCCTTCTCTCCATGGGCAACGGTAGCCTGCTGACGGTGTAGACTCCCTGCCTGTGAGCAGTTCTGCTGGCCTTGTAGATGCCCACAGAGCAGGTGGCACCGCTAGTGGCTGGGAGGGACAGGGAACCCGTCGTGCAGGTGTTCCGGGAGAACCCAGCGTGTGTGCGGTCTGTCTTGGGGGCCACGGCACAGACAGAGCCTCTCCGTGGCAGATCCTTGGGTGGCTGCCCTCCTGTGTGCCCCTACGTGGAGCCTGCACTGTTTTGGGTCGGGGCACCCGGCCCAGAACCTGCCCCTGACAGCGTGGGCTTAGCCCCTGGTGTGACCCTGGGCCACCCAAGAGCAAGGATGCTGGGGCCGCCCTGGGCGGGAGGTGGGAGACGCCCAGAGCGTGCACGGTCATCAGCACAAGGGAGCCGGGGCACACCAGGGTGCCAGTGGGGAGCTATTTGAGAACCAAGAAATAGTCTAAGAGGAGCACTGCGGGGTAGGGGGGTCCTTCCTGCGACGGGATCACGGATCCATGGATCTGGAAATGTCCATTATCGTGAGGTCATGGGATACGTGATGGGAAATTCAGAGGGACTCTTAGAGCACCTACTGTGCACAACTCTGCCTCATCCTTGGTCCCATGCAGACCCCACACTGGCCGCCTGTCTCCCCGTCACGGGTGTCCATCCCCTGCGGGTCATGCCCTCACCTTGCAGACACCCTCCCTCCAGGCACACCGGCAGCCATGGCGCCATCCGCCAGACAGCGGGGGAGGCCTGCCCCAGTCCTCATTGTTGCTTTTGAGGGCAGTGACCGTCCCGGTCTGAGACATGATGGTTATGGGGGTATCCGGGGCCTGGGAGCTGCCCACAGAAGGGCTCCCCGAGATCTGGAGGGTCTCAGAGCATCGGGCATTGTCCCCGCACTGTGTACACGTGTTAAAGAAGCCTCCCAAGGTAAAGACTCCTGTCCCCTCTGACTCCACCCCCCCCCCCCACTGCTGGGCAGTGGTGGCCGGCTAACCGTGTAGACTCCCTATCTGTGAGCAGCCTGGATGACCACGTAGATGTCCCATCTCTGATCAGTCAGACTGACAGTGTAGACACCCCTTCCGTGAGCTGTCTGGCTGACCATGTAGATGCCCCATCTGTGAGCAGACTGGTTGACCATGTAGACACCCCGGTATGGAGCAGTCCAACTGATTGTGTAGATGCCCCATCTGTGAGCAGTCCAGCTGATCGACTAGGCACTGTCTATGAGCAGTCTGATGACTGTAGACACCCCATCTGTAAGCAGTCCAGCTGGCTGTGTAGACACCCCATCTGTGAGCAGTTCAGCCGACCATGTAGACGCCCTGGCCGGGAGCAGCCTGGCCACCGGTGGCCGGCCATGCCTTCTTCAGCTGTGACCAACTTTCCAGCAGGAGCCGTCAGAAGGTCCTAGATGTTCTGGAGCCACTGGGCCAAAGCCAGGGGGCATCCTGCAGGGCCCCCCGCCCATCCCTCCCACGCGCTATTTTGGCTACACTATGCTTCGCTGGTGTTCACGGGAGTCTACATCCCTGACCTTCAGTCTTTGGTTACGGATGCGGTGGGAGCTTCCTCCACGTCTTTAACTCTGTGCCGTGAAGAATCCATCAAGGTCCCTGTTCATTTACCTGTGCAGGTGGTCACATTTCTCTTCAAACGAGCAAGTAATGGGTACAGGTTTTCAGTAAGTTCAGGCAGACTGAGGGATTTAAGAGTCAAGGTGGGTTTGCAACCCAGCCCCTTTCTCTTTAAAGGCCCCCTGAGGTTTTTGCTCTGTCTCCACCTCCCTGGGGTAGAGCTAACTTGGGGCAGGGGACGGAGCCAGCCGCTGTGGAGAGGTAGACACCTTCTGCTCCTCCTCCTGCCTGCCGGGCCTCTGCTGCTCTGCTCCTGGGGGCCTCTTCCGTCTGTTCCTGGCACAAGGGGTGAGTAGGGAGCCTGATGCTGACCTGGTGGTCTGACTGGTGCCCGCTTGACTCTCTAGCACGTGTGGTCCCCTGAGACTGCAGGCTCATCATCTTCCACTGTTCTGAGGATTTGTCAACAAGGCATCTTTTTCTCCCTGTCTCCCCAATCAGACCTTGAAGTCTTGAGTAGAATGAATGATGTCTGAACTGACCCTTGCACCCCTCTGGGGGCCTACAGGGATTTGCTGGTGCTTCAGGGCAGCAGCCCTTGTGCCCAGACCAGCATGCCGGCATTCCTCTGGGCGGCACCTCTCTCCGAGGGAGTCGGCGTGGTGCTAGGCACTGGACCCTCAAGTTCCCACCAGTTAGGTCGTGCTGCTCCTCAGCTCACCCTTAACCTGCATGGGTAGGGGGCCTGGCATGGGCTAGACCCCAAAGTCCCCTCAGGGTCTAAGCCTTGTGCAACCACGCCCACCCCCTCCCCTGGCCCAGGGAGGGCTCATCACTGTGAGGAAGGCCACAGGGTGGGGAAGGGACATGGAGTGTGCAGAGCCACATTCAGACCTCATCATCTCTCAGGGGCTTTGAACTTGGAGTTTGAGAATATGTCTTTATTGTTGGCTTCCACCAGAAAGAGCTCCAGTCTGGAGCGGTCTCTGGGCTCCGAGGAGGAGGAGAAAACAAACACTGGTCTCTAGGTCATGACACAAACATTTTATTGATTATAGCGATTGGCCTTTGTCACGTGGAACACGAGCCACCGGCCCTACAGAAGAGGGTTCCCGGGGAGCCGCAGTCCCCCTCCACTGAGGGACTGGTGGGCATCTCTTCTCAGGAAAGGATGGGCGGCATGTTCAAGTCCCCAGTAGGCAGCAGCTGCGTGTCCACCGACAGGCAGGGGATGGTCTTGGACGTCAGAGCTCCTGAGAGAGGACATTTGTGCCCAGGAGCAAAGATAGCAGCGCCGGAGGCAGAAGTTCAAGCTGGTCAGCAGCAGGACTTCTGGGCCGAGGCGGGCACACAGCAGGCCTGGCGGGAGCCCACAGGGCGGCAGAGCAGGGACACGCAGGAGGCCCCGCGGCAGCAGCTGGGCTGGCAGGAGGAGGCAGGGGCACAGCAGGAGGAGGCAGGCACGCAGCAGGCGGGTCTGCGCACGGGGCGGCAGAGCAGGGACACGCAGGAGGACGGTCTGCAGCAGGACGAGGAGCAGGGGCTGGGCTGGCAGCAGGAGGAGGCCGAGCAGGGGGAGGGCCCAGAGCAGACAGGGGTGCAGCAGACAGGGGTGCAGCAGACGGGCTTGCAGTAGACAGGGGTGCAGCAGACAGGGGTGCAGCAGACGGGCTGGCAGCAGTCTTCCTGGCAGGGGGAGGAGCTGCAGCAGGAGGGCTGGCAGCTAGACTGCTGGCAGCATGAGGAGGCTGAGCAGAGGGAGGCCTGGCAGCAGACAGGGGTGCAGCAGACGGGCTGGCAGCAGACAGACACACAGTAGTCTCCCTGGCAGGGGGAGGAGCTGCAGCCGGAGGGCTGGCAGGGGCTGGTGCAGGCTGACTGGCAGGGGCTGGACCCGCAGCTCGCAGGGGTACAGATGAGGGTCAGGCAGGAGGGGGCACAGCAGGTGGGGGCACAGCAGGTAGGGACACAGCAGCTGGGGACACAGCAGGTGGGGGCACAGCAGGGGGGGGCACAGCAGGGGGGCTCGCAGCAGCTCTCTGGGCAGTCGTCCACCTGCCAGGAGTCGGGGCAGGAGTCACAGGAGCCGGGCAGGCAGACGCGGCTGCTGTAGCTCCCGTCGCTGGAGCAGACGGACAGGGTGGACGCGGCCATGCTGGGGGCGGTGGGGCTGGAGGAGGCTGAGAGTGTGTGAGTGTGAGGGTGAGTGTGTGTGAGTGTGTGAGGTGCTGGTTTGTCTGTCGGCTTTTATACCTCCAGCGTGTGTGTGTGTGTGTGTGTGTGTGTGTTGTCCCAGCCGTCGGCTCACCACGCCTTCCTTCCTTGTTGGTCTGAGAGCTGGTAACAGGGAAGACCTCGTTAGTGCTGGTTTATTTTCCACAACTAGTTTTTACTCATTAAATGGTGAGGATGTTGTAGGACTCTGTTTTCCTGTCTGTTCTTTGTTGATCTCCAGAAAACTTGTGGAGAATATTGGAGGCAGGTTTTGCTGAAGGACTGCCATGGTTTCTAAGGTCACATTCCTGCAGGGTTTGGTGTGAGATCGGGATCCCGCAGACCAGCCCCATCAATGTGTGAACACTCGGGGAAGACTCTCAGGGCCATTGCACGCCCAGCTGTCAAGTGTCTACAAGGGCCGTTGAGAGGGTAAGACATGCACAAAATAGGAAAACTTGAGAGAACACACGCAATGTGTGTGCGCTGGGGAACTGAGACAGTTGAGGGCTGGAAACTCAGGGCGTTAGAACCCTCCCCTTGTCCCCGAACTATCATCATTGCTGTCATTTCCATCAAAGCCCAAAGGGAATCTCTTTGGCACATATATTGAAGTGATTGAATGGCCAGAAAATATGGGCAGGATGCGTGATGGAGGAAAGGTGAATATGAAATTTTAAAGTCCTTACAACCAAGGCAGGAGAGGGTACAAAAGAATCACAAACAAAATTGAAAACATTCAGATTCCCAAAAAGCATATGGAAAACTACCTGAACTCATTAATGAAGTTCGTCAAATTAAAACATAAATGTCCCATCTGTAGGATCAACTAAAATTTACCGTTAATAGTTTCCAGTGCTGCTCAGTGTGGGGGCCTCACTCCCAGAAATCCCCAGCAGGCATGATTTTTACGGATTGAGCCCATAATATATAAAATATATAATTCCATCCATTTTAAAGCGTACAAGTCAGTGACGTCTAGCAAAGCCACAATGTTGTGCAACCGTGATCACCAGCTAGATCCAGAGCCTTCTCATCCCTCCAGAAGGAAATCCTGAACTATGAAGGAGTCCCTCTGCAGTCCCCGTCAGTCACTAATCTGCTTTCTGTCCCTATGGACTTGCCTATTTCACACCTTTCACGTGTAAGGAATCACACAATTCATGGCCTCTTACGTCTGACTCCAGTCACTGAGCGTGATGTTTTCCAGGCTCGTCCGTGTTGTAGTGTGTGCCCGTGCTTCACGCCTGTTCCTAGCTCAGTAATATTCCAGCAAATGGGTTCACCACATTTTATTTCTCTGTTCCTCAGTCAGTGGACATTTTGGTCATTTCCACCTTTTGGCTGTTTGGAATCGTGCTGCTATCGACATTTTTGTCAAGTTTCTGTTTGAATTTTGTACAAGTTTCCCAAAACATTTTACATTTCCAGCAGCAAGGTCCGAAGCTCTCATTTCTCCACATGCTCCCCGGCACTGCTTCTGCTCTCTTTTTCTTCTCCTTCTCCTTCTTCTTCTTCTTTGTTAAATTGTGGCCACCCTACTGGGTGTGAAGTGGCATCTTATTTGGTTTTGGTTTTGCCTGATGCCAGGATTTTGGGCTTCCTTTCAAGTGCTTTTTGGCCATCTGTGTTTCTCCTTCTGGAGAAATGTCTATCCAAACGTTTAACCCATTTTTAATCAGGTTGTTTGTCCTTTTGTTGTTGAGTTACAGGAGTTATGCATTCTGGACACTAGACCCCTATCAGAGTTATGATTTGCAAATATCTTCTCCATTCTGTAGTCTGTCTTGTCTTTTTCTCTTGATAGCATCCTTTGATACATAAAGCTTTTAAATTTTGTGAACTCTGATTCATGTGTTTTTTTTGTTGCCTGTGCTTCTGGTGTCATATCTGAGAAACCGTTGCCAAATGTAAGGTCATGCAGACTTAACCCTATGTTTTCTTTCTAGAGTATTATAGCTTTATCTCCTATGTTTAGGTCTTTGATCCACTTTGAGTTGATTTTTGTATATGGCGTGAGGTAGGGTTCAACTGTTGATCCGTCTTTTCTCTGATTTTGGGCAGCGCTTAAGTATTAGGGATATGGCATATTTTCTGTGGTACCAGTTGTGAATATTATTTCTTCCTAACTTGTTTTTTGCCTTATACTTCCTTATGACATTATCATACCATCTCTATCTGTCCATTCATCTGTCTCTCTACCTATCTATTATCTATCCGTCTTAATGTAGAACAAAGGGAACACAAGATAATTGAAAAATTCTACAGTTCACTGAGGTTCTGCATTTCCTGTTTTAATTCTGGTCTCTTTACCGTACAACCAAACCTTTTACCCAGTAGTTGGGTGTAGTGAAAGCCATGTGTGAAAATCAATAAAAAGAAACATCACTAAAACGTATTGGGCGGGAGGCTGGGCAGATGGGGGCTGATAGTCTTACCACTCATCCCCAGTTGCAAAGCCAGCTGGAAGGGAAGCTACTACTTTACTACCCCAGCAGGAGGAAGTTTTTTCCTCCCAGGGCAACAGCCCAACCAATGAGAAAAGCCTCTACATTTCCAGCTCCCAGTTTACCGCAATGGACCTTCTGTTTCTCTGTCCGTCCCAAACTCCACCCCCTCCCCACTCCTCTGTAAAACAGCCTCCTCTCTTCTCTTGTAACTTATCCCAGATAGCAATTCTCTGTTAGTCCCAAATACACCCATCTTTGGCTGGCAAAATAACTAGCAGTTTTATTTTTAAAGTTAACAAGTGAAAAAAAAAAGTAAGTAATTGTTCACTGGATGAATAAATGCAGAAGTGCCCATTCAGAGTCAGGGACCCTGTTTCTCATTCTTCACAGTGTCCTCTGCAGGGACCAGAATCGTTTTTCACGTGTTTCTGATACTCCATCCATGCAACCATTGAACTCCTACTGTATACAAGTCAGTGTCACTGGTGCCGCTCCCGGATGCTCTCCGACCCTGTCTCGCCCACCGCACCTGTGTGCCTCCCTGACCTCCGTGAGGGTCTGCTTCTACCCCCGGCTCTCCTGGGAGGACTGCTGTCACCGCACAGCTGAGTGAGTCCTCAGTGCCTGGGTATGTACGGCCTCCCACGGTCCCCCAGCCAAGCTTCCTTACTGCGTGGGGGACACTCCAGTGCTCCTCATGGGATCAGGCTGGGCTTGACCTAAAGTCACACCTTGTTTACCTTCTACCGGTTCCCTGGTCTGCCCACCCTGCTCTGGACTTGTTTCCCCTGGAGGCTCTTCCCGAGTCCACCACTCAGGCTTGTGTCCTTGTCATTAGCTCAGCTCCTGGGAGACCTGCTTCACTCCTGGGGCCATGACGGGTGTGAGATGCCATCGTGTGTGGAGAGCTCCATGCCTGCTGGACGCCTGTCCCCTCCATGCCCTCTGCTCCTGCTGTGCCCACCCCACCCTTTTCCCCTCTCCATGCCAGAGTTTTCCCCATGACTCCACTTCCCAGCGTCGCTTTCGTCCCAAGCTTCCCCTTTCCAGGGCTCAGATGACATCATCTTCTTTCCAAACCTCCCCCATCTCCCTTAGCACCAACTGCCATTCTCCTTTCTGGGTCCCAATGCCCTCTGTCTCCTGTGCCAAACCATGGAGTTCATAGTTTAGTGGATTGTTTTGGTTTTAAAATTAATTTCATGCATATAAATCTGGTCTCTCCAACACGATAGCCCACGTCAAGACAAGATGAATAACTATTTCACCAACGTATGCCACATTCTAACACCTCCATAGGTGGTATTTTTGCTGAGAGGTACATAAAATCATGGGACATCTTTAGTATTTTTTTTTAAAGACTTTATTTGTTTTTTTGGGAGAAAGAGAGAGAGAGAGAGAGCAAGAACATGGGGAGGGAGCGAGGGAGAAGAAGAGAAGCAGATCCCCACTGAGCAAGGAGCCCGATGCGATGCGGGGCTCCATCAGAGGACCTGGGATCACGACCTGAGCCGGAGGCAGACGCTTAACCCACTGAGCCACCCAGGCGCCCTGCATCTTTACCCTCGGATGAGATCTGAGTCTTGATTACCTGTGACCTGTCTAGGATGTGTGTCTTCTTCAGCACTTTGCCCCAAACGTACCCACTGCGAACGTCACACACCAGGTGATGTGAATTACCAGAAACCCTCACGCTAACCCAAGGTGCCTAAGTTACTCAGGTATCACCAGATTCCTTTCTGGGTTTCAAATGCAAGTAAGAGTTCTTTCCTTCAAGCCCAAACAGCCCCTTTTCTCAGTGAAACTTGCAGGGAGCCCCTACTGCATACAAGGCCCACGGCTGGAGCCAGAGATACAGATCAACCGCCCGGCTCTGACTCCCTCGGGGCGGGGTGGGGCGGGGCACCCTGGGGGCGGCCGACCTCTGCGGAGTAGAGAGGAATAAGCCTCAGCTTGTCTCCTCCCTCTCCCGCCCTCGCACGTGGCTGGGAACAGTCAAGGTTGACCACAGAAGTAATAGAAATAAGAAGGGCTGATGAGGGGCGCCTGACGGGCTCAGCCACTAAGAGTCCGCCTTTGGCTCAGGTCACCATCTCGGGGTCCTGGGATCGAGTTCCACATGGGGCTCCATGCTCAGTGGGAAGCCCGCTTCTCCCTCTCCCACTCCCCCTGCTTGTGTCCCCTCTTTCGCTCTCTCTCTGTCAAATAAATAAAATCTTAAAAAAAATAAAAATTAAAACAAGAACTGCTGATGGAAAGTAGGAGGGGCAGATGAGAAGGCCTCCCACTGCTGGGGGGGAAGGTCGGAGTAGGGGAGCTAGGGTGGGTGTCTGGGGTAGCCCCGCCTTATGGTGGTGACCCGGGCTTAGGTTTCCCAGGGCGACCATCAGGGAAGGAGGCAGAGGAGTGCCTTGCTGTGTGACCTGTGTCCTATGTCCATTCACGGAATGCAGCCGGATGGGTCTGGCCTGAGGCTGAGTGTTTGCAGAGCGAGGGCCACAGAGATGGATCCCCACTCGGTTTCTCAGCAGGCTCACCCACCAAGTAGGGTCAAAGGCCTCATGGGACCGCCCTCCGGAGCCCCCAGCCATCCCCGGCTCGGCTCGGGGAGGGCATTCTTTCCCGGGTACGTGCTGGCACCTGGTCCAACAGACCTGGGAGCGGGACTAAGTCACCTGGAATGTAAATATTTGGGTTTGGGGTGACTGAGTTCATACCAACACCATTATATACTTCATGTGTGTTCTTGTACAACAGGAAGAGAAACAAAACACTTCTCTGGTTAAAAATAGTTCTGTTCCCTGTGGAAACACTTCCCTGCTGTAGCCCCAACAGTTCACGGTTGTTTGTCGGGCCAGGAAAGGTTTTCCAGCGAAATCTCTCTCCGTTCCACACCCCCATCTCCCAGCCACCTGACCCCCGAGCCGGGGGACAAGAAAGCACATGCAGAAGAAACCCTAATTTATAGCAAGAACAAAGAAAGTCAACCCGACAGGCAGAACCTGAGGCTGGGAGAAGCAGAGAGGTCCCCTCTATGTCGTGCATCTCAGTGGTGGACCCCACAGAGCCCACGGCCCAGACCACACCCAGCCACATGTCGGGGGCTCTGGGGACCGGCAGAGCCTCACAGCAATTCAGGGGTCAACTTTCCCCCTGGGGTCCCCTTCTGTGTCCTTTGGAGCAACAACACAGGGATGGCCTGCTTGTCCCCCGGACTTTGACCCAAGTCCATCCCCATCCCAGTAGAGAGCCTCCCGTGGGAACTCTGATTCACCGGCAAACCACACGCACCCTGACGAACCCAGGCCCCGCGTTGGGGTGGTGGCCCCCTGGTGCCATCAGGGACCCTTGCTCCTGCTACTGCCCCGCTCAACCATCCTTCCTGTTGGCTCTCCTTCCCCGGATCATGGCTTCGTGATTGCAAGCGGCTCCTGCTGCCCCAGGCCTTGCTTCTGTGGCCCGGGGAGGGAGAGAGAATGGGAGAAGGGGGTGCCCGTTTCAGGGAAAGAAAGGGTCCCCAGATGCCCCGGCAGGTTCCTGCATAGGTCTGGTTTGCTGGAAGTGACCTGCGGCCACCCCTCACTTCAAGAGAGTGTGAGGACCTGAGCACTTGGACCTGGGGGCCTTATCTGGCCTGTTCGTCAGGACGCAGGGGGAAGGATGCAGGGCTGGCCGCCACGGGTGTCCCCCCAGGGTAAGTGAGAAAATCAGCAACTTCACCCAGTGGTGGGGTCTGGGCTTTATGAAATACTAGATTCAGCGTGGGGAGGGGCCGGCCCACACCACCAGGCCCTGTTTGCTTTGCGTCTTGTGAAAATCACGGGGCCCAGGAACTGCTCACGTCCCTCCACTCTTCGTGACATGGGAACAGAGTTTTAACCTTAGAGAAGAGAGATCGCTGGGGCGCCTGTCGGTTGAGCGTCTGACTTTGACTCAGGTCATGATCCTGGGGTCCTGGGATCAGGTCCCGCCTCGGGCTCTCTGCTCTGTGGGAAGCCTGCTTCTCCCTCTCCCTCTACCTGCCTCTCCCCCTGCTTGTGCTCTCTGTGTGTGTCAAATAAATACTTAAAATCTTAAATAAGAAAAAAAAGAAAGAAAGAAAGAAAGAGAAAAGAAAAGGAGATGGCTGGATGCTGTACATTTCAGTCGAACAAAATTCTGTCTGGGTGGCCCAGGGATTTCCATGCGCCGGGACAAGCGTGATTCTCATGAGGCCGACGGAGGGGGCTGGCTCTGGACGGTATGGCATGTGGGGGCCTCGATGGGGCAGAGTGTCTGAGCGCGCCCACGGCGCCCCACGTGCCGCCCCCGCACCTCGCCTGGTCCAACCGGCTCTGGCCTGCTGGACAGGATTTTCAGCTCAGTTCGGACCCCGGCTTCCTGCCGCGGTCAGTGAGGAAACCAGGACACCCCTCAGAGCCACATTATTCCGGATCCGACTTCCCTGACCCACTGTTTCCTTGAAGAGTAAACCTGAATCCAGGAGTGTTTACTGTTTGGGAAAAACAAACAAACAAACAAACAAAAAACCCACGCAAGGAAAGAATGGCAAATATTGACACAGGCCTGGTAATGCCCCGGGCACTGCCCTGGGGGACCGCACGGGCCACACGGGAGCCGTCCCCAACCCTGTGCACAGGAGGAAAACAAGGTCCCTGACCTCGGGTGGGGACCCTCAAATGGGATATGTGAGGGGCCAGAATCCCACCAGGACTGCTGTCCCACAGCCATTGACAGAAGCGAGGCCCCAGATTGGGCTCTAGGGACAGTGGAGGACCCGGGACTCGTCAGTCCAGCAAACAGAACACAGAGCCCACAGAGCCCACAGGGTGCATGGTGGGTACGCGGGGTGCCCCTGGAAGGTGGGAGGGTGGCACTCCCTCCATCAGGTCAGCCTAACCCGGGCTCCGCTCCTGATGGCCTGTGGGCTGGGGGGCGGGGAGGGCCTGCTGCCACTCTATGGCCTGTCCCAGCGGTGGGCCAGGCTCCCTCCATGAGCAGGCCATGAGCCGGCCCCTCCCACCCTTGGCACCCCCACGGCCCCACCCCCCCCATGCCCACCCTTGGGGTGCCATCTCTAGCCCTCACCACCCTGCCTACATCCTCCTGGGCTCTGGCTCCTGTACCCCCAACCTCTGTGAGGCAGTACATGGCCTGCTCCCAGCAGGTCAAAGACACCCAAAATCGAAGGCTCCCCGGGGAGGGCCGGGAAAAGACTTCAGACAACGAGGCCTTGCCGGCCACGCAGACATCCTTGTTTAGCCGAGGACTGGTTGTAACAGTGGACCCTGGAGCCCAGGTTCCTCTCTGGCAGACAGGTGGCCCCTCTGGGGGGTGTGGGTGGCTGGGGCCCGACCACAGCCCTGACCCCTCCCTCTCCTGCTATCTTGCCCGTTTCCCCAGTTCTACCTTCCGTCTCTGCACACAGTGGATATCTGCAAGCCTGTGAACCCCACAGCAAGGTAAATAGTAAGAAACTGGGGCAGAGCTCCGCAGCTGGCCCCGGGGTGGGGGAGGGCAGAGCTAGGCACATCCCCACAGTGCCAGGCAGAGTGGCTCACGGCGGGTGCCCCGCAGCCCTCTCCCTGGCCCAGAAAGTACACACCAGCCACTCATTGACCCTTGACCGGCCCAGCACGGCTCTTTGGGCAGTTTAGCTACCGATGCTGGTTGTCTGATGGATCACTGTACAAGCAGAGACACAGTGGCAGAGATGGGGACAGAGGCGTCCCTGCTGTTAGTCTGTCACTCTTCGACCTCTCCCTCCCCCTGTCCCCTTGGCCCTACGCCCCTTCACAGACTCTGGGGCACCAATGCTCAGTGATGGCAAACATGTCCCAGTGGGGTTCTACACGAGGTCAGGAATGATGCAGAGTCTGTCCCCTGTGACTCTAGTTTGGGGACATGCAGATGTGGCCTGTGATTCATTATCAGTGGCTGGGTTCCAGCCTGTGTCCCGAGTGGGAGCACAACACTGCTGGGTGTGGGGAAACTCCCTCCAATCCAGGTCGGAAAGCCCAGATGGTCTCTCTTAGAGTGGGATGTGATGCTCGGTTTCAGTCCGGAATCACCGTGAAGAATAAGGCGATGGTAACTTTTCAGAAGGCCCAAGTGTGGTGCCTGCGAACAGGGCATGGGGGAAGCTGTCCCGTAAGGCCTGCAGTGACACAGGTTCCCGGCCCCGCCCCGGATGCCCTCTGGCCCAGGCCCGCCCCTGACTCACGGAGGAGGGAGAGTGCGTCCGCCCCCGCTGGCCCATCATTGTGTCCTTCCCGGGTGGACAGCGAGCTCTCTGGCAGGCACCTGGTGAGCCCCTGAGCCAGAGGACTCAGGAAGGGAGGTCATTATCAGCACAGCAGGGAGACAGGAGAAGGGCTGGCAGGAGCCTGAGTTCTTTGTGGCTGAGTGCGGTCTCTCACTCCACAGATAAAGAAACTGAGGCCAGCTCTGGCCAGGCCCTTCTCCTCAGCCTCTCCTTCAACCCGTCCAGAGCACCACTCTGCCCACCCCGCTCCCGGCTGCCATCCTCTGCCCAGTCCTCAAGGAGGACACCTGGTCCCTCTGTGCTCCCATAGCCCGCCAGCTGGTCCGATCCTTGAGCCCTCAATCCCCCTGTGGAAGGCAGGTGGTCCTCTGGCTTTCTGCAGCCTGAAATACTTACTCCTCCGCTCTTGGGGAAATGCAAAGACCCGGGCACCCATGAGGGCAAACATGCTGGGGATGTAGGTTCCTGTTGGAACGGCTTTCAGGAACAGCTGGAAGCAGGGGCCATGTCCCCTCAGATGTGAGGAAGCAAAGTCTAAAAGCCATTGACTCTCCCCCATGGCCAGATTTCATCTTGGCCTCTGCTGGGCTTGCTGAGCACAGTCATCTTCACCAGCGCGTTCTCTTTAATCACTTCCCTCAGGAGAAACAGCAACGGGCAGACCATCACTCCCAGACCTGAGTCCCTGCAACCCCCACACCCTAAATGTCCCCACCTCCACTGTGCCTCCCCCTGGAGGAGCTGCCTGCCAACAGACCGTGGGTAATGTTGGCCTCTGGTCATGGATTCTCCAAATTATGAGTCAGACGTCTTTTCCAGCCCTGATGGGATGACAGTAAATCCAGTAAGTCCCTGACGTTATGGAGCCCCCATTTCCGGGAAGCAGGAGCTCCAGCTGGTGGTGCAACAGAGCAAATGTGTCTTAGCAGGTTTGGGGGGCTTTTTTGGTCTCTGTGTGTGATTGTTTTAAGAATAAGCGACTGGTGGAGAAGCTTGCTGTGGACATGAGATCATCATCCATCATCAGATATGGGCTCTTCACTGCCACTGGTAGAGGCTAACTGTACCACCATTGGGACCCTATGATGGCCCCCACCCGACAGCAGAGGTGTGCACACTACGTTTGTGTTACACACCCTCTCATCAGTCGTTGGGCTTCATCTCACTTGAACGGACCTTACTGCTTATTCAGATCCAGTCCATCTCTCTGTGTGCTTTTTCTTCTTTGAAATAAATAACCCCACTTCCTGTTGTTTGAAGATGGGCAGGTTATGAAGAGTCATCTTGAATGGATTCCAAAGAATACAAACGAACTACTGTTGCAGTGTGAGTCATAAATTAACACTTTGGTCTTTGAGTCTGTTAAAGTGAACAGCTGTGGATTGTATACACTGAGACATAAGTGTTTGAAGTATGGAGCGCTGTTTGAGACTCAGAGGAATATCTTAATGAGAAGAGAGCACATGGTAACGCATGTTTTTTTTGGTT